TGTCCCCCCACCCCCCACCACCCACCGGCCGCGGGACCTCGCATGCCTCCATGAACTCCACCGCCTCTGCCGGCTTGAACAGCCCCAGGATCTGGTCCAGCAGGAAGGAGTTGTACCCGTAGTACACCGCCAGGTCACGCTTGAGCTGAGGGGGGAGGCGGGTGAAGGGGCAGATTCGGGAAAGAGCCGCGCTGAGGTGGGCTATGGGGTGATTGGGAAAGTTCATCCTTTGTCAGCCTGGGTTCATTCAAAAATGGTAGACAGGCACATTTGCGCCATCCCAAACAGCCTCAATGTACGCACGCTGCGTTGCGGAACAAGAGCGCGCATAAAGCGCGCCGCCTCAGTGCTGCACACCGTTCAGAGGCACCCTCATCTGGGCACTCCTCTGGCCCCATGTGCCGTGCCGCCCCCCACCTGGTCCACGTAATCAGCCCGGCTGCGGCCCGCCTGCCTCATGGTGGCAAAGCTGTCAAGCACCCCCACGGTCTCCTTCAGCCGCCGCCGCACCACCTCCAAATCGGGCGGCGCATGCGCCTCGGCCTCCACCTCCTGGCCGCTTGGCAGCGTGAAGCGCTCGTGCTGCGCAGGGCAGGGGGAGATTGGAAACAGCAGTATTCAGGTGTCTTGTTGCAGGCCACCAGCACTTGATGCCCGCTGCACAGTTGCCTGCCATCGCGCTTACGCCGCTCACACGTGCCATTTGATGGCTCGCACTACCGGAAATGCTGCGCCAATCGACTTGTCGTAGCCCTGCTATGTGCACGCACACACGTCCACACACGCTCACATGCGTGCATGCCCATGAGCGCGCACGCACGCGCACGCACACACACACACACACACACACACACACACACACACACACACACACACACACACACACACACACATGATGCACAGGCATGCGCCCACTCTCGTGATATCACTGGATCACCCAACCCTCACACAACTGCATGCAAGCATGAACGAAAACGCGCTCAAGCATGCAAAAACGCATGCGCTCATACCCACGCAAAAGCTCACCTCCTCAATGTTGGTGTCCAGCCCCGCCGCCATTGTGCGCGCCTCTGCGTCAGCGTCGGCCGCAGCACGCCGCTGCGCCTTGTCCAACAGCCGGCTGTGGCGCTCTATGGCCAGCTGGTCATCGTCATCGTCGTCGTCATCGCTGTCCTCCTCCTCCCCCTCCTCCTCCTCCTCCTCCTCACTGCCCAGGAGCCCGCCCCTCTTGCCGCCTGCGTCGCTGTCATCGCTCTCGCTGCCCAGCAGGCTGCCGCCCTCCTCTTCCTCGCTGCCATCCTCGCCCTCGCTGCCGCTGCCGGTGCCCTCGTCGCCCTCCTCCCCACCAAACTCATCGCCCAAGATTCCCAGCAGCTGGTCGTCGTCGTCAACGAAACCGCCGCTGCCGCTGCCGTCGTCGTCATCGCCCATGCTCCCCTCTTCATCGGAGCTGCTCGGCGACGGCTCGCTGGCTGGAAGGGGCGCCGATGGCGGTTTTACATGCATAAGGTGGCAAGTCAAATTTTTGGTGTGGGCACCCGTTATAGCAGGCAACAAGAGCTACTGGAAGGGCCAACGTGCGGCTGCTCCACAGCCTGCGCCTTTGCCACGGGCATCCCCCAAACGCCCCCGCAGCTCACCTCGCTGCTTGGCATGCTTCTCAAGCTTGGATGGCAGCCGCTTCTGCTGCACCTGCTGCTGCTTTTTGCCTCGGGCTGTCGGCCGCTTGTCCTCCGGCTCGCTGTCACCACTGCTGTCAACCGGCGCCGCCTGCTTCTTGGGCTTGAGCCACTTGGCATTCTCATCTGAGAATCCTTTCACCTGTTTGCGTGTCAAAGCATGAGGTGGCAGTAGGTTGATGCCGCACAGGGCCCCTTGCGCAGCAGCACAAATCACCGGACGGCGGCGACTGGTGCGGCGGCTGTCGACGGAGCTGTGCCGCAGTCCCACACAGCGCCGCAGCATTGCTCAAGGCGCTTAACAAACCTTTTTAGAGGCAGAAGCGGTCGCTCCGGCACCCGGTTTCCTGCAAAATGAGCAAAACGATCAGCGTACATCCCCACCACCGTGTCGCAGGCAGCTCGAGAGCAAGGGCTGAATACCTCTTTTGTGAAGCACGTGGACCTGCTTGCTGGGGCTTCGCCATGGCGCGCTGCTGAGATCAAACCTGTCGGCGCTCTCATGCACAAACACAATATGCCTGAAGCCTGTGCGTCGACGGCTATCAGTGATCAAAGGCATAACCGGATTTGCACCGCACTCCACAGTCAGAGCGCTGCATGTTGCGCTCTCCAGTGTCACTTGGACGACACTCCCGCCACGGCGCACAGATGATAAGGTCAAGGGTTGCGTTAGAGATGATTGCCACTCTGTGAGTTGAAGATGAATGTCACATGGCACTGGACTTCCGTGACACGTGATGCAGAATGGGCAAGTCTGACATCAGACCGCTTTGACCGCAATCTTGACATCAAATGCAACCACCAATGCCCCAAGTCCAAACTGCAAGGGTCTGTAAGTGCCGTCATAAAAGTATGATACATGAAAGAAATAGAGCGAGGGTCAAGTGACCCGTGAAACCCAACCGTCACAATATCGCCTACTGCTACCACGCGCCAAGCGGTCACCCAGGCCCGCTCTCAGCCTCCCTCAGGCACTGACAAGGAAAGTGTCGTGAAGCATGTACACACAGCCACGCGGATCGCTCAGGACCCGCGCCTCCACGTCACTGAGTGCAGTGCCACCCAGACCACACACCGTCTCGATAAAATTGGCATCACTGCCCCCGTGGATGCCACCCGCCAAAGCCGTGGCCTCCCTGGCCGCGGTAGCAGCGCGTGTGCTGTGAGCGCTGCTCAACACCACCTCGAGCCAAGAGCAGCCCTCGCCGTCGCTGCCCACGCCACCCAAATCCATGTGGCCCAGCAGTGCCAGCGCCCTGGTCAGGGCGGCCACCTGCCCTGGGCTGGCAGCAGGGTCAAAGGGTGCCACCCCGAGCAGGGCATGCGCATGGCGGCCCAGCAGCAGCGCGTCCAAACGGCCGGTGGCGTCCTCCAGCTGCACCTTGGCCGCCAGGGACCATTCGCCAGTGCGGCGGCAGCAGCGGCACATCGCCGGAGGGTCGGCTGGGAGGTGCCTGCGGTATCGGAATCGAGAGAGAGCGTGGCGTAGAAACCGCCCTTCTTGCATGCCAATGGGCAAGAGCCACATCACACCAAGGGCAAAGGCGTTGCATCTCAGTGCCCCCTTAGCTGCCAGTTTGCACGCCACGTGCATGAGCGGCGGTTGATGCGATGAGCTGCCAGCCTCCCTGATGGCCCTACCTGGTCATGCGGACCAGCAGGCGGTACGTCTCACTGACTCCCTCCAGCCGTCGCTGCAGCACATGCCGCACCGTCACCAGGGGGAGCCCGCGGTGGTTTGGGCACCAAGTCACAGGACGCGTGGCTACTGCAACGGTGTCGCCGGATGCTTGCCGCGCAGCCCAGGCGGCTTCAAAGTGCGCGTCTGCCACGGCAGGAGTGATGCGGCTGCAGCTGCCGGTCACGAGCGACAGCTGGCCCTGCCCTTGTGTGTGAGGTGAGAGGAAAAGCGAATTTACAACACGGGGTGTTGCTCCGCTGCGAGTCAGTGGGGCTGGAGCGCATGTGCCAGGTGTAGGCTGACTGCATGGAATCATCGCCCCCTGCGCTCCCCCCTCGGTCTCTCAAACGGCCCCTTCCCTGATTGCCGCCACGCACCTCGTGCAGCTGCTGCCCCACCACCTTGAGCTTCACCCAGTCCCCCACAGCTGGCAGGGGCCGCCGTGGCTGGCCTCGAGGCTGTGGAACCACAACAGGCAGAGCTGTGCCCAGGGGTGGCAAGTCGGGCAGCACCTGGCGGGTGGTCCACGAGTTCAGGGTGATGCTCATGGGTGTTTTAGCGAAATGCTGAAACTTGCAACGGGACAGCATGTGAGGCCCGGTGCTGGGGTGGTGATAGCACGACAACCAGAAGGGGCAATCACAACAACATGCCGGAATGGTTCGGCTCACACCCACTTCCGCACACATTAGCACCCCGCGCACCTCAACGCCCGGTTCCCCTGGCAGCAGGGGCATCACCCGGTAGCACGGCGCCGCGCGCAGCTGCTCACGTCCGCGAAACACGCCCGGTGGCATGTGCGCACTGCACACCGCGCAAACAACAATGATATGTTAGTCGGCACGATTGCGGCAATATACAACAACCGCCGATGCAGTGTGTGGCAGCACATGCACCTCGCCTGTGAGATGTGTGTGTCACACCAGTTGTGCCGCTCTCGTGCTCATGGCACGCTCAATGTGCCCACCCTGCGCCCGTGGCACCCTGCACCTCACTTGCACGGCATGGGGCGTGCATCTGTGGAGTCCCACACGAAAAGGACCGCCTCCAAGGGCGCACGGCTGTCAATGGCCAGCACCTGGCGGTGAGAGCCAGGCGGTCGTAGGAGCAGTAGCGGGAAGGGAGGAGTCGTGGAGATGGATGCATACTGAAAACACTGTGCATGCACGTCTTTGTCCACCAACACAGAATGCAAGGGCCTGGGCCTTCACTTGACAGCTGCGCTGTGTGTGTGTGTGTGTGTGTGTGTGTGTGTGTGTGTGTGCACGCGCGCACGCGCGCGCGTCTTGTGTGCGCAAGCGAGCCGTTCATGCTCGGGCACCACACCTTGCAGCGCATGTCGAGGATCTCGCCCGGCGCATATACACGGAGTGCGTTCTGCTGCTGCGGTGTGTGAGAAGGCTGCTGCTGCTGCTGCTGCTGCTGCTGTTGCTGCTCCTGCAGTGCCGTAGTTGCAGCCTCATCCAGGAGTGGTAGCTTCAGGTCCATCACTTTGCGCAGGAAGTAGGTAGGGCGGCCTGGGGCTGGGGTGGATTGGGGATTGGGGCAGGGGTAGGAGTGCTAGGATTTTGGTTAACTACCGTCTGCACATGGGCGTTTCAGGACATGAAGGTGCATGCGCATGCACATGGCAGGGCGCACATGTGCACCCGCAAGAGCTCATGCTGTAATTGAACACCACAGCCGCTAGATAGCCTGGGTCTGACCTGTTTCACTGCTAACAAGGGAGTGCTGCACAGACAACAGCCGCAGTTGCGACAAGGTGGCCACATCCTCAGGAAAAACCTGTCGCATCAAGGGCATGATGAAGCCTGAGTCACAGCCGCGCCTATCGCTGGGGCTGCAGAAGGCTGCCACTCTAGTGTGAGGTCGTGCCGCGGCTGTGCGCCTGCCGATTATGCGAGCGACCCACCTGCCATGCCGCCTCGCGGCCTCCCCCAAGCCTGTAGGGCACGTCTGGCGCTGCCAGCGCCCCGCCAAACATCAGGTAAGAGAACGGCCGGGACGGCGCCAGCTGCCCCATCAGCTGGATGCGGCCGCCCCAGAACTGAACCTGTGGGTTGCATTTAAACATGTGTGTGCGTGTGCGTGGTGCGCTGATCACGCCCCTCAGCCGCTGTAAGCGGTTGTACAACCGTTATTTCACCACACCGCAGCCCGCCGCGACGATTGCGTGCCCACCATCACATTCTGCAGGCGGATGATGTCGGCCGCGGCTATGGCCTGCGGCATGGTTCCCGGCTCCCGGCTGAAGACGATGACCTCTACGCCGCACTGCAGCTCAGGGTCTGCCATGGTGCTGGCATCCATGATGCGTAGGTTGACTACATGGTCTACAAATCAGGCAGTATCATTTGAATGGATGCAGTGTGTATGAGCACGTGCCTATTGAGCGCGGCTGGCACAAAAGAGACATCAACAACGTGCACACAAACAGTGCAGGTGCTGATGTGAAGGTCCATCGCGCCCCACGAAACGGCGGGCCACCCACCTGAGCCGCGGGATGGGCGGGGAAGCGAGCAGTCCAGCAAAATACCGAACACTGTTGCCTGGCGCTGCACGTCGGGTGCGCCGGCAGGCAGGCCCCGGACACGTGCCACGGCCTGACCTAGCGTCTCCAGTCGCATCTTGCTGGCCTGCGGGCAGCTTGTAAGCGTCCCAGGGACGGCGTCCCAGTATTCCAGCCTTCTAAGCCCCGCCGTATATGCCGGCACAGAAGCGCAGCTGGTGCTGTACTGTCAAAACACTGGGGACAGCTGCAGGCAGAGCTCAAGCTGTTGATCTTGGCGCGGTTGTGATCTGCAAGAGTGGTGTCCAATGGCAAGCACCTGCCAGGCATCATGTTACGATTATGTTGCGATCGCACCAATTCAGAGCTTGCAGCTGCAGGGTCGAGCTGCCAGCGCTTACGGACGCAGCTTCTCGCCCGCTCTCTCGGCGCACGGGCTTACAGTACTGTAGACTCCCTGTGCAGGAATCATGTCTCGCTTCATTCATAGCGCATGCCTTGGTGTACAGCTATAAGGCTTGGTTGCGCTACTCTGCAGCCGGGGTCGCGTGCGTTGAAGAGCATCACCTAATTTTGATCTGTCTTAGTGGACGCAACACGCTATGGTTCGACTAACAGTGAAGCCAACGGCGGGCGGTAATAAAATAGAGCTCGACACGGGGCTGGAAAAGACCGTGCTGGAGCTCAAGGAGGAGCTCGCTCCCAGCTGCTCCATCCCGGCCACGGAGCAGAGGCTTGTCTGGCGCGGACAGATCCTGAAGGACGAGCGCTCGTTGGAGAGCTATGGTGCGTCTTCACAGCACCACCCGCGCCGACCAAGCGCACCCTAGGTCGGGTGTCGCATCGCCTTGTTTGCATAGCGCGCTGAAACGCAGACGTGACCTTATCCATGCGCGATTGGACCTGCAGGCATTGCTGAAGACCATATCCTGCACCTCGTGCGTGGCAAGCCGCAAGGCGGCACCCAAGGGTGAGCAGCGCCTGCATGTGGGAACCATGTGGTGCGCCCACTCTGCCCTTGCGGAGCATGGAAGCCGTGGCGGTTCAGTACTGCTGGTCTGCACCAGCGTGCAGGCTTATTCAGCATGCACCCATCATCGGCATATGCATCCAGATAGTGCCCACTCACGGCTGCCTTTGCCTGCCTGCATGTATCTCCGTGAGCGCACGCCAGGTCCTCGACTGCAGGCGGGGCCTCCTCTTCGGCTCCCACCTTGGCTGGCAGCGCCACGTCCTCCGGGGTTGCAGCGGTGCGTAGTTGCATGCGGATGAGCGAGCTGGGTCTGATGTACCTTTGAATTTTTTCGTGCACCACTCATAACTCAATCAAGCGATGCAGCTTGGGCTCTTTTCCATACGAGCAATGCTCTGATTGGTACCCCGCAGGCGGGCCTCAGCACGGCTGCGGCTGGAGGCGCTGCTGCTGATGCTGGTGCTGGCCTGGGCGGTGGACCCGAGGCCATGATGGCGCAGATGGCCAACAACCCTGTGATGCAGGCGGTAGGTTCAGGGCAGCACAGATGCTGCTAGGGCTCATTCTTTTTGTGTCTGGAGGAACCCACACCGGTTGCGTCTTTCAAGCTGTTGTTTGCTCTCTTAGCCTTTCGGCTATTGACCTGGTCACGTCCTCCAACCTCCATTGGCCCCTCTGCCTCATCTGCCATCAGATGATGAACAACCCTGAGCTGATGCGCACCATCATGCAGGCGCACCCGGGCATACGCGAGGTGAGCATGTGCGTTGGGGTTCGATCGGGATTCGATTTACCTGCGGATGAATTTGTACAAAATTTCCGTCCAGGGCACAGCTGTGCTTGCAGCCTGGCCGTTGTGATTGATGCCGCCTTGCTTTTCCTTCCTTTCTTCCCACCCGCAGCTTACTGAGCGCAACCCTGAGTTTGCCCAGCTGCTCAACAACCCTGAGCTGATGCGCGAGTCCATGCGCATCATGTCCAACCCAGTGAGTGGATACAGGCCTGGATCCGCTTTGATCTTCTATCGTAGCGGTATCCAATCAGACTGGCAGATGAACCCTCCTTATGCCAGGCTGCTGGTGTGAAGCTCCAATCGGCCTGCCGTTTCCTCCCCGCGCCCCCCTACCCTAGAACCTGATGCGCGAGTACATGCGCAACAACGACCGGGCCATGTCTAACCTGGAGGCACTGCCAGGCGGCTTCAACGCGCTGCGCCAGCTGTACGAGAACGTTCAGGAGCCTCTCATGAACGCGACGCAGGGCATGGGAACAGGCGGCGACTCGCCTGCCAACCCCCTGGCTAGCATGCTGGCAGCGGCGGGCTTGAGTGGCACTGGCACGGGGGCGGCTGGCAGCGGCGGTGCTGGGGCTGGCACCAACGCAAGCGGGACGCAGCCGCTCCCCAACCCCTGGGCTGGTGGCACAGGTGGGCTACACCACGGAGCCAGGCCAATACTCAATTGCATATATGCTGATTATCATCTGGCAAGGAGCCCTGCATGATGGACGCTACCTGAATGAACTCAAGGCTGGTTTTGCTATCTCATTCTGTGTTGGTGTTTGTCTGCCAGGTAGCGCTGGAAGCGGCGGCGGCGCGGCAGGGGGCGGCGACCTGGCCGCCCTGGGTGGGCTCGGTGGGCTCGGCGGCATGGGCGCTATGGGTGGCGTTGACAGTGGCATGCAGGCAGCGATGATGCAGCAGGTGGGTGTATTTGACGCAGTGATAAGGTGGCGTGGGCAGCTGCTCCTTTTGCCAACGACAATGTTCTCCTTTCTCCAGTCCTCAACCCTTGCTTTTGTGTGTTGGCTTCCGTGGCCAAGACTTGGCCAATACTGACGCCTCCCCAACCTTGCCTTTCGATACGCCCAGCTGTCTGACAACCCCGCGATGATGGACATGATGGCCTCCATGATGAGCGCCCCGGGGGTGCTGGACAGCATCGTGGCTTCCAACCCCATGCTGCAGCAAATGATGGACTCGAACCCCATGCTGCGGCCCATGCTCAGCAACCCTGATTTTGTGCGGTCAATGCTCAACCCCCAGATGATGTCGGCGGCCATGCGAATGCAGCAGGCACGTGCGCGTGCGGGTTCTAGGTGTCTAGGGCGGGGTTGCGCTCGTGCAGGTTTGCGTGCATTGCCACCGTCGCCACCGCTGCTGCTCCTTCTCCTGCTGTAGCACCACCCATGGCTGCCACTCTCCCCATCAGCAGTCACTTGGAGGAACGGGTGCTGCAGCCGGCACGGGAGCTGGCACGGGCGCTGGCACGGCCGGTGCACCGGGCGATCTGGCGGCGCTGCTGTCGGGCATGATGGGCGGCGGGGGCGCGTTTGGCAGCGGCGGCGGCGGGGCACCTGGCAGCGGCGGCCTGCCTGACATCAACTCGATGATGGCCGCCCTGGGCGGGCTTGGTGGCCTTGGTGGCCTGGGTGGCCTGGGGCCCCTGGGGGCGCTCGGCGCGCCCCAGCCCGTGGCGGACCCTGAGACGGCTTTTGCCAACCAGCTGCAGCAGCTGCAGGTGAGCGGCGCGCACAGTCTGTAGTGGTCATTTAAAGAATTTTTCAGGCTAGGCTTTTTGCCCCCTTGAGTATTTCTTCACTGCTATCACTTCTGATGTCTCTCTCTTCTGTCATGACAGCACCTCAAAGGCACCCACATGGTTCGTGCATATGGGCATGAGTTGGTAGTTTTTTTGTTGGTGCATACGTGCATTCACGCATCTTCATGCTCTGCTCATCCACCGACACACGCCAGCGACCTGTGCTCAAGGCGTCGTTTGCGCTGTGCCCGTCACCCCTGCGCAGGAAATGGGCTTCTTCGACCGCGATGCCAACATCCGTGCTCTGCAAGCTACCGGTGGCAACGTCAACGCGGCTGTTGACAGGTTGCTAAGCGGCCCGTGATACATCACGCACAAGCCAGTCGCTCTCCCGCCCTGTCTGCTGTACAAGCAGCAACCAGCTGAGCTTGGGCTGTGGCCTGCGCAGTTTACCGTTGATAGACCCGCCCTGCATTTTGACAATCCCTTCAACAATCTGCGCTGCGGTGCGCTTGTGTGTAATGTGTGATTGGCGCCCTTGCTGCTGCGCTGAACCAGCGCTTGCATGGGGCAGCATGGCAGCCATGGCATTCATGATGTGCCAGCAGCGAGGGTGAGCGCGGTGCCGCCAGTGTTGATCAACCATTACGCTGCCGCTTACATAATGATATTTTTCGGGGAGAAATCTGCCGTACTAAGGGTCCTGAACGTGTACGGTATTGTACAAACACTCGGCTGTCGTCGTGTTGTGCGAGATCACGCAGTCCACGGGCGATCTTGACCAAGCGGTGAGGGATTCAACGCCATGGGCATCAAAATTGATACAAGAGAATAGGGAGGTCACGGTCCTGCCATCCAGGCAAGCCGTTGGCCCCGCGTGAGCCGCGGGCGCGAAAAGCTCCCGTAGCGGCGTAGCAAGCGAGTATCAGCGTGTCTGCTCGAACCATGGAGCGCCAATCGAGCTATGGGAGTGAGTCGAGCGTGGGCTCGGCCTTCTCAGGCAGGAGCGCGGGCGCGAAGTGAGTATCGATTTATCCAGCAGCCCGGTGATGCGTACTAAAATCGCGCTGCACGGCCGGATCATAGCCGTTCGCGATGACTTACTGGTCAGCGCAGCAGCGGGCAGTGGACAAGCTGCCATGCCTGCTGCAGTGTACATCAGACGCGGCTTCTGTGCACCAGCTAGAGTTGTGGGACCACGTGTACCCTTGGCGCGGCACATTGCAATCCCAATGCACACCTATCTTTGAGCAGGGGCGGTGGCAAGGACCATGGCAAGGGCGAGGCAGAGGAGCTGCAGCAGAAGGAGCAGCTGATGAAGGCGCTATTCGGAGCGCTGTACACGCTGGCCAAGGAGAAGATCAATGACAGCGCCAAGATGGCCTACCTCACCATATTTGTCGACTTCTTCCTCATCTGCTTCCTTTTCCTTATGCCGGAGTACCCCTGGGCTGCGGATGAGCACCACCCGTGAGTTTTTGTGGGTGGCATGTGAACGCACGTGCAAAAGGTGGGGAATCCATCAACGCGGCTTGGCCAGCTGGTTATCAGTGGGTTTTTTGAGAGAAGCAGGCTTGTGGCGAGGATACTGTGTCGATTCAGGCTACCTGCTGCCCCATCCACAATGCAGGATGTTCAAGCTTTTCTTTTATGTGGAGTTTCACCTGCCCATTGCTCACACGGTGCGGGGCACTTACGCACCGGTTACGCCTGCGACAGGCGGATAAGCAGCGACAAGACATAAAAAGCTGCTATATTTGGGTAACGGACTGGGCCATGTGGCACTTCAAACCTTACGTGTTGGGTGCTGCGCAGAATCTTGCACCTCATCCGGCGACGTACCTGCCTCAAACCTTGCAGGGCTACCGTTTCTACCTGATCGTGTTTTACGTGCTGGTGGCCACGCTGTTCACATCCACGGGCATCTGTGTCTGGGTGGGGTGGTGCTTCAAGAACGACTCCTTTCCTTTCCTGTGGCCCATCAAGGTGGCACGCATCGTGGTCAGCCTGTTTGTGAGCATGTTCTACATAGCTTCGCTCAACATATTCCTGATAGCATTGCAGTGCGAGCCCGAGCTCGACACCAGCGGCAAGCACCACTGGATGCACCTCATATACGACATAGGTGATCTACAGACTGGGGTGGGGCAAGTGCGGCGGGCCGGGCCGGCGGGCTCAGCAGCGCTGCGAAGCACGACTGGTGGTGATTGGTGAACGGCGACAGCCAGTGCCCTCTTTCAGCCTTGCATGATGCCCACTCTGCTGATCCCCATGCATGTTCCATCACGCCCCTCCACTCACGCTCATCATTGCCCCATCTCCTGCTCCAACAGACTGCCTCAGCATGCCGCACCTCATCCACGCCATATTCAGCCTGGTGTCCAGTGTGCTCTTCTTTGTGGTGGCGCTGCTCCTGGTGGTGGCAGACCACGAGCTGGAGCCCATGAGTCGCAGCTTGCTGGCCGCGCCCCACAGTATGGCAGAGCTGCGCATGCTCCTGTGCAAGACTGTCATCACCTGTGCCGACATCTTGCTGCGGCCAGCACCGCACATCCAAGTCGCCGTGTATGCGGCATGTTGTGTGCTTATGCTCTGGTACCAACTACGATGGGTAAGTCCGCAGCAGTTGGGGACAAGAACGCGAGCCTTGGGTGCCAGCATTTTGCAATTCGCTTGCAATGGGCTTGATGCTTAGGGCCTGAAGGCGAAGCGCTTGATTCTGCTCACAGGGACCAGGCCTTGCACAGCAGCAGCTGACAGCCATGGTGACTGTATACTGCTCGTTTGATGAGATTGTTACAACCCAACTCAACTACCCAATCACCTGTGCATTGCAATGGCCCCCCCGCTCACCTGAAAACAGGCACCCCACTTGAGCGCATGGATCAACTGCCTTCGTGCCGGCCTCAACGGCATCCTGGCCTGGATCAGCGTGACTTTGATGCTCATGAGTTACACCGTGGAGTGGCATGACAACCACCAGACAGGCAGCCACGTACACTACACCTGGGAGCCCTGGAGCAGGCGCTGGATGTGGACAATGGTGCGCAAAGGCCCAGGAGGGCACAACATGCGAGCAGATTCTTCCAGTCAGTTTTGCAGAAGTGACGGGCTGTTGGAGACAGAGATTGGACACATTAAGGCCTCAGGTTGGGGCATGTACTCACGGCACAAATACCATTTGTCTCCCCACCACGGTCCAGCTCATGGCAGGTGGTGTCCCCGTGGCCTTTTTTGGCTGCATGGCAGCGATGTACGCACGCCTCTATTATGGCTGGCGCGTCGCGTTCAGGTTCGCGCGGCTGGGGCCGGGCGTCAAGCCGCGAAGCCTCCACACCTTCTTTGACGACTTTGACGTGGAGGTGGCGGCGCGCGTCGGGCGTGTCTTTGATGTTGAGGGCGCCAACTTTGATCCAGGTGCGCTGGATGTGGCCGAGAACGTGCTCAAGGCGGGCGTCGCCATGTTCCCGGCCTCGCCGTACCTGCGCATCGTCTACAGCAACTTCCTCATTGAGGTGGGTACGCGACACGGGTTTCGAGAACAAGGGCAGGAGAACTGCCTTTGGGAGTCAGGGCCAGGGTTGACGGTGCTGTACTGTGCTACTTCTCCCTGTGCCTGAAGAATGGAAGCAACTTGGCCTTTGGCCTCATTCCTTGACTAATCCTTGCACTGCACCACATGCTCCGCCAGGTTCGCAAGAACAACGCGTCTGGCTGGGCGCAGCTGGAGGTGGCGCGCAAGCTGGAGCCCAACCTCAGCTATCAATTCAGCATCTTCACAAGGGAGCAGGAACACAAACAGAAGGCAGCTGCAGGCAGCAGCGGCGAGCAGGTGATTGGAGGCCTAGGAGAGCGGGCATGCAGCCGTGCAGGCGCACTGTGATGGCAGCGGTCTTGGTGGGGCCTACCTGGGCGCCATGACGATGTAACGCTTTAGTTGCTGTCCTTGCACCATCGCCGCTTGATGGACAAGCCCCTGGTCCTCTTCCGCCCCTCCAATCTCTTCGCAGGCGGTGGACCTGGTTTCGTATGTTGAATTTCAGAAGAACTACCGCTCCCTGCTGGAGTACCACAAGGCGGCACTGGAGGCCACTCGGGACTTCTGGCGCCTTGTCATGCGCGATGTGGTGCCGGTGCGAACAGCAGGAGGAGCAGGGGGTGGCCGGCCCTTTTTGCGCGCACGCGGCCAAGGCGTCTGCTGATTGCAGGGCACGCTGCGCTGCCCAGCAATGGCCCCCTCGTCTTTCAATGGACGTACCCACCCCACCCCCACCGCCAACCCCCAAACCCAGATGGAGCGCATGTCTGCCATGTTTGCGCGCATCGACCTCATGGAGGTGGCCGCCAACCGCACCTACCACCTGGTCCTGGAGCGCTACCCCAAAAGCGCCAAGCTGCTGCGCTCATACGGCCGCTTCCTCGAAAATGTCAAAAACGACCCCTGGGGGGCAGCCAAGTACTATTCAGAGGCTGAAAAGCAGGTGCATGTGTGTGTGTGTGTGTTTGTGTCTGTGTGTGCGCGTGTGTGTGCGTGTGTTTGTGCGTGCGTGCGTGCGTGGGTGGATGGGTGCGTTTGTGCATGTGAGTGCATGTGTTGGTAAGAAGAATAAATACTTCAATGACTTGACATGTTGACATGTTCACGAGGGTAGCTGCATTGCCGCTGGCAATAGCGTCCGCACATAACCTGTCTCTGGAGCGATGGCTACTGGCTTGTCTCTGCTGACCTGGCGCCTCTGCTGTGCCCTGCTCCCTATCCAGGAGGAGCTGGCAGAAGGGGCGGCCCCCAAGATCACCCTAAATGGGGAGGAAGGAGAGACGTGAGCCGGGCAAGGGTTGGAAGGGCCATGGAAGCAAGCTCAAGTGATGGCAGGCTGCTGTGAGGGCCACGGAGCACCGGGTCTCTGGGGTTGAATGCAAGCGCCTTGAGCCCAATCAACCAGCACTTTTCCACTTCATCAAACCTCCCACTTAAATACTTTGCCCTCACTGGCGGCAGCAACGCGGGTGTGCTGGCCGCCCTCAACGACAAGAACAACGCAGTGGTCAGCATCAACGCTGTTGGCATCATACAGATGGCCAACAAGGCGGTGCAGAAACTCTTTGGTGGGCCGCCACTGGGGCGGCTGCAATTGCTTCCACTGCAATACGCCTCAATGCGGGTCCGTGCTTGGCCAGCTGCAACAATATGCAATCTGCGGTTTGCAAGGCACTCTTGGTTACACTGTGTCTGTATGTTGCCAATCAGCCCCTGCAACAATCACCCTGCCATCCCCTCCCTTTCAGGGTACAAGAAGGGCGAGTTGGAGGGCAAGAACGTGAGCATCTTGATGCCTCCACCCTACAGCACGCGCCACAACGGCTACCTCAAGGCCTATCAGACCTCAGGTGGGCTGATGCAGGCAGGGGCCGACCGGAGTCCGACATCACCATCAAAATGCGACGCTTTGCATCAGCGCACTATTGGGTGCCAGAGGATTGGTCATGGAGCCTCAAGGGATGCGACTACAATTTCCCCTTGGTCCCCTGCTCGTTCGTTCATGCCGATTTAGCTCTCACTTTGAAGCCTCCATCTTTTGCAGGCAAGGTCCACATTCTTGACCGGGTGGTTGATCTGGTGGCCCTGCACAAGGAGGGCTTCATATTCCCTGTCACGATTTGCGTCACCAGGGCCTCGGGCAGTGGCGCAGACGCCACCTTCATGGGGGTAATCAAGGTGACGGGCAGGCTGTGGTGATCAATACGCAGGGGCACACACACACACACACACACATGAGGGCACGGTCCGCAGCAGCCGCCTGGCTACACCCAACACGATGCTCGTCACGATTTTGTGAGCTGTCAAAGCCCTGGTGTTTCAGCAAACCTGAATGCCTGTTTACCGTCTGTTCCTGGTGAAGTGCACTCTTGCTCCTCCTTGGCTTGTAGACCCTGCCTTCCTGCACCCTTTTGCCGTGCAGCCTGCCCCCAGTGCACCCGAGGATATCAAGGCATGGCTGATGCCCAATGGCAGCGTGCTGTCCGTGGATCAGTCCTTCATGGACTATGCGGGCTGGAGCGTGCAGGAGCTTGTTGGGAAGCCCTTCAGTGCCCTGGCGGCGGACCCCGGGGAAATTGAGGGGTGAGCGGAGCTGAAGGGCTGCCTTTCTCTTGGAGCCCCTTGGCTGAGTGATCACACGACTAAATGATATACATGATTCCGACGCTTGCCTTGGCGATCATCACAAGCTGCATGGGAGAGGTCTTGCACAAATTGGTTTGGCTCAGCCCCAACCGGGCCTCAATCTTTGCGACTGCCTGCAACTTGCGCCACACTCTAGGATGCTGGGCCAGGCCGCCAAGTGCAGCGAGCAGCAGCTCAAGGCAGGGGCTGTCTCGGGACAGGCTCAAATCAAGCACAAGTATGGCGGAGAGGTGGGTGGGACTGGGGGGAGGGCGGACATCATGGGACCTGGGCTCAGCTCTTGTCAGTGAAAAGTCATGGCAGGCGTCGGGGTGCCCTTCACCTCCCAACCTCACCATTGCACCCGTCAGCCCACCGTTGACGCCCTGCCTTTACCCAACTGCCAGGTGGGCGTTGCCCTGCGGTTCCAGCTGGGTGGGAGCGACAGCCAGCGCGTGGTGGTGGTGGTGATGCGCCGCCTGGAGGAGGCTCGGCTGATGCTGGCCACTGATCACAAGGGGCGTCTGGTGTACGCCAACACGGGGCTGGCGGCTATGCTGGGCTACAAGCTGGCGGCGCTCAGGACCCGCGAGTTTAGCACCCTGCTGCCGGCCCCCTACTGCGCCATGCACACCAAGTTCATCAAGGTGAAGAGGGTTGTGAGTTGGGTGCAAGCCGGTGAAAGTTCAAATGGTGTTGGCCAATGGGATGCCAAGGAATCCAGGTGATGTTGCGACGAGGATTGGATGGGATCTTGCCGGGGGAATTGCTCTTTGAACATGGCCACATACTAGGACGCTCTGTTGAGGAGTGCGCTTGGGCAAACCTCATTTTGGTGCATCCATCCCACACTTTGCAGGACACTGAGACGGTGGACACGCGTGCGGCGCCAGGCAGCTGCCGCAGCGGCGCCCTGGTCCACCTGCTCAGCTCCAACGGCACTGCTGTGCCTGTCAAAGCCTCCATCACCCACCATCCCGGGACACTGGGCCAGGGCGCCGCCTGGGCTGTGTCGTTCACACGCTCCTCAGAGGCCGCATTCGCGGACGAGCGCCGCCTGCTGCTGCGAGTCAAGGCGGATGGCACCATTGTCGGCACCAGCGTGGCCACGCCTGCGCTGCTGTTTGGGTGGGACCCGTCACGGCTGGTGGGTGAGAGGCTGGACGTCCTGGTGGACGTGTTCCACGAGTACGCAAGCTCAGGTGGGTGGGCCTGCGTGAGTTGGAGGGAGTTGGTTGGTTGAGTAGGCCCAGGATGGGTCGAGCAAATGAACATCAGCAAGGGTGTGTCTGCGCTGTGGGGAAAGGGGGTTGATGGAAGTTGCGGGGCAGACTGGTATAGCTGAGTACATGCACCAGCTGTGGAGGCGAGCGGCACGCACCCAAACTGAATAGCATGCACTACCGCATCACTGAGCTAAGCTCGGCCCCCTCTCCTGTTGACTCTGCTCACTATCACTTCACTTTTGTGCAGGCAAAGATTTGGGGCAAGCCCTCACGGCGTTGCTCATGCGCAGCAACGCGCACCCGGGCACCAGCTGGCGTGTTGGCGCCGGCAAGATTGAGGAAGCCGAGGCAGACGCCGCCGCAAGGGCTGCTGCAGAGGCCGAGGGCGGGGGCGTGCGCAGCATCTTGCGCCAGGGCAGCCGACACGGTGCCGGCAGGGTCAAGGCGGCGGTGATGACAGTGGCAGTCGCTTCGAGCGATGACGAGGACGGTGGCGCTGGTGGTGAGGGTGGCAGTGGCGGGGACGACGGCGCTGCAGTGGTGCTGGAGCTCTGGCGCACCGACCTGCTGTCGGCTGTGGTGGAGCTGGGCGCCGGCTGCTCCATCGTGCGCGCAGACCCTAGTGCTGGGCGGCTGTTTGGCCTGCATCCAGGCATGCTGATACAGCACCACCTCTACAGGCAAGTGCTTTGGGCGGTTCTGCACAGGAGAGGTGCCGGTGTGCATGCGCAAGCCACTCGACCGCTTGGCGCGAGTGAAGCAAAGTGGCAGTTACTCTCATATCTTTGCAAAACCGCATTTCCTGCCCCCCCCCCTGCCCTGCAAGTGAACCATGACACCCCTGTTCTTCTCCCTTCCCTCCCTGCCCAGGTATGTCGCGCTGCCGTCCACCACCACCCTGGACGACCTCATGGGCCTGTCGTCAGCCAAGAAGGGTGGCATGAAGAAGACCCACGCGCACAGGGTGGGCCCACGCCGCCAGCTGCAGGCTGTGCATCCCGACGGTCGCGGCCTGGGCGTCAGCCTGCAGGCAGTGCTCAAGGACGGCTCCAGCACTGCTCGGCTGGTGGCGCTGATCAAGGCCAACCAGCCCTGCAAGGGCGCACCGGTGGGTGGGCGAGTGCGGCGGGTTTTGATGCCACGAGCGCTGCATGCGCGAGTGTCGGTGCAGCCTGCATCCAGTGCGCTGGCCAGCTGAGGCCATGGTGCGCCGCACCACCACTTCTATGCAGAGCACACGACATGCTTCTCTGCACCAACACACACGTGACAGCCGCGGCTGGCCTTACCTTTAACCCAACGTGGTGCATGCCCTGTGCCACAGCGCCTGCTGGAGGAACTGGTGGCGGCCCAGCAGAGGACCTCTGCGGGTGATGGCGCTGATGCGGGGGGCGCAGCTGACGACAACAGCGGCAGCGAGGAACTGGCAGAGCAGATGGCGGCCGTGCACAGGGGCAGCAGAGATGGCGGCGCAGCCGCCTCGGCTGCCATGGTTGGGGGTGCTCGGGCAGTTCCTGGGCTGGCAATCGGGCAGGCTGCATTGCTGGGCAGCAGCGGCGGCGGTGGCAGCGGTCCCGCGACGACGCGGCGCTCTGCCGGCAAGGACTTGGCCACCGCTCGCGGCGTGGAGCTGGACCTGGGGGGTGCCACAGAGCGGGGCGGCCAGGGCCATGCACGAGCGCGCGCGCGCTTTGGCAGCGGCGAGGGTGCCAGCAGCGAGGCGGCGGACGAGGAGGCTGGGGAGCGCGAGGCGCGGCGCCGCGGCATTGCTGTGAGTGACAGCGGCAGTGATGGTGGTGACGGCGGCGCCGACGGTGGTGGCGGCAAGCGGCGTGCCCTGACGGAGGAGGAGCGTGAGGAGCAGCTCGCCGCCAAGGGCAAAAACAAGGCGCGAGCCTGGCTGGAGTCAGGATTCCACCACATGAGCGGACCTGAGGTGCGTGTTTGGGATTGGGGGCAGGTGACAAGACTTGGAAAGAACCTTGTCCCTTGTTTTGCTGGACCCAGACCGCTCGCCATGCCTGTGCACTCCCGTTTTCTCGAGGCAGGGCGCCCCAGCGCCAAACCCCTCATCCCCATCGTTGACATGAAGCGTTCCTGCACTGTCACAGGCCCCCGGGGCTGACGACGTGGACCTGCCTGGTGCGGTGCGCGGCCGGCAAGATGAGGGCTCAGAGGACGCCAGCGGGCGCAGCCCCCAGGTGCCACTGGCAGCCGACGGGGCACTCGCTGGCGCAGCGGGCGCAGAGGCCGACACGGCACTTGGGGCCGGCGGTGGTGCGGGCCAGTCGGATGTGACAAGCGGCGCTGGCGACGGTGCTCAGTTGGGTGGTGACTTTGCTCGCGGCAAGCGGCTGCGCAAGCTGCTGCGCCTGATTAACAACCAAGTGACAGCCAACACGCTGACAGCATTCCAGCGCCGCATCCTGGGCTTGTCGTTCGGCGTCCTGCTGCTGCACGTGGCGGCATTTGCGGCCGTTATGGCGACTTTGAGCAGTGACGCCACCTATGCCCAGGAGCTGGACGCTGCAGGTGTGGCCCGCTCCGTCACAAGCGCATGAGTCGGCCTGCAATTGCTTGCATTTGCGTGCGTGCGTGCGTGCGTGCGTGTGTGTGTGCGCGTGCGTGCGTGCGTGCGTGCGTGCGTGCGTGCGTGTGTGTGTGTGTGTGTGTGTGTGTGTGTGTGTGTGCGTTTGTGCGTGTGTGTGTGCGTTTGTGTGTGTGTGTGCGTGTGTGTGCGCGCGTGTGCGTGCGCGCGCGGCGCGTGTTGTATTTGTAGAGAGCAGACTACGCCATCACCCGTCAACGCCTACATCTGCCACCCGCCAACCTGCCGTTGCCCCCCAACAGGTGAGGTCGTTACGGTGATGCACCGCGCCTGCAGCTATGCGCGCGTCCTGGAGGCGGCCCAGAAGGGCTACGGCTACAGCGCCGCGGACCTGGTGCCCTACGCCCAAATGCTGAGCACGCAGCTGGACAGGTATAGCACGCCACAGGGGGGTTCCGCGGTCATGCAGTCAGAAAGGGTGTCCATGGGTGCCATGGTTGGGAGAGCGCAGGCGGGAAGCAATCGGGGCCTTCGCAGCAATTGCTCGTGAGCAAGATGCACGGCCGATACCTGCCATGCTGCTCTTGCCTCCTGCCCATCACGTTCCGCCCCTTCAAACCAGCCCGTCCCCCTGCTGCTGCTCTCCTGGGCCTGTCAGGTTCGAGGTTCTGCACCAGGGCCTGTACCTGGGGTTCAAGGGGCTGCGCGCCATAGACGACCCGGCAGTCAAGGCTATATGGCACGACGCCACCATCAACGTCACCAGCTTTGCGGGTCAAGATGCGGGCGGTGGCACCCTGGTCAACGTCAACAGCCTCTTCAACCTGGGTGCACTGTTTGTGGCGGCCGGGCGCGAGGTGGCCTTCATAGGCGCCAACGGCCGCTCCGACGACCTGGCCACCCTCCCATCGGCGCGCTTCCTTCATGCCAATGGCCCGACTGTCATGCACGAGGCCTACCTGCACTCCCTCAACCTTATGGTGGGTGGGTAGTGGGTGAAATTGATGCGTGTTGGCTATACAATCTGATGCGATTGGGAAGGAGTTGGATCTGCTTGGCGTGTGTGCGTGTATATGTGTGCGTGTTTGTGTGTGTGCATGTGTGTTTGTTGGTGGTTGCCGTAGGGGGGTTTGCAGTGTAGTGCTGGCTTGCGAGCCGCACGTTCTGGCAGTTGTCATGTAACTCTCACGTTCAACATGTTCTCCACGCCAAGATCCGCTGACTCCACCTCGCGTGCTCCTCCACACCACAGACCCTGCGAGCGCAGCGCAGTGTGATGCAGATGAAGGTGGTGGTGCTGACCCTGCTGGTGGTGGAGGGAGTGGGCGTGTGCATGGGGTCGGTGGCGATGATCCTGATGGTGCTGCGCGCTCTCATGGCGCACCGCGTCAGGCTGTGCGGCATCTTCCTGGCGCTGCCGAACATGGCGCTGCGCACACTAGCAAACAAGAGCACCAACATCGGGGAGGAAGAGGAAAGTGATGATGGTGAGCTACAGAAATGGAGTGGCGGTGAAAGCTGTCTGGGTGGGTGCCTGGGTGCCTGGCTGGCCGGACTGCCTGCCACTGGTGACAGATGCCCGTCAGATTCTCGTCGACCGCAACCTTGCTCACACTTGTGCTGGACGCCGTGTGCCTGCGCCGGACACGGCCCTGCGGCCTTGGATGATTGCCCACAATTACCTGCAGAGGACGCCAGGGCTGCGGAGACGGAGGCTGTGACCAAAGCAAAGAAGCGCAAAGCAGCACAGGAGGAGGCAGCGGCTGAGGAGCAGGCGGCGGCCGGTGGCGATGAGGGCGAGGCAGGCAGGGCCAGTGGTGCAGGGACCACGTCAGCGCGGCGACGCGTGAGTATTTTCGGCAAGCCAGCTGGAGGCGTCGCTGGAGATGGCGCTGCGGTGAGAGTGAACGTTGCATTCTCAGACCAGGGGGGACTGCCTGCCACTGAAAGTGATGTTATCGCTTGCTGGCCCCTGTGTGGCCCTGTTTCATCTCGTGTTCTCCCTGCCTTCCATCCATGTATTGCCCTCCTGCGTCTGCTCTCCAGCCCAAGGGGGCCCACAACCTTGAGCAGCTGATGGGCATGGACCTGGAGACTCGCCGCACCATGCTCTACAATGGGAAGCACCTGGAGACCAGGTGTGTCTTTGACCAACAAGTCTGCACTGCAGCAGCCCAGATGCAAGGAGAAATGACCAGAGCTCAGTTGGTGGTGTTGCTGCATCAACATTTCGATGGCCCCGTGGCCTCCCCGCTGTTGCCTCTCTTGCCCTGGCAGCGCAAGTGACTCATACAGGCTGGCGTGGCCGTATTTGGTATGGGGCGCGCTGGTGATGCTGATGTATGGCGTATCATATTCAGCGTTTTCAGACATCAATGCCGGGATCGTAGCGGTGAAGCTGGGGCAGCGTACGCTGCTGCAAATCAGCCGCGTCACGTACGTCATGGGGGAGGCGGCATTGTCTCAGGTGAGGACCTCATGCACAGACGGCGAGCGTATCGCGCAAACTCGCACTGCTTACTGCTGAAGGCATGCAGCAGTATACATGCATGGTAGTACACAAGGCATGTGTTTTGGTCCAGCAACTGGCTGCTTTGCAGCGCACAAGTTCTGCACAACTTGCTCAAATTTGCTGCTCACAGCTCTCTGAGACCATTTTATTTCTGCTCGCTCCCGTCCCATTTCCTCAATCTCTGCTCCTAGTCAAATTCTGCGCGGGCGGCGCTGCAGCCGTGGCTCTCTGGGGAGGCTGATCTGCTGGATAGCATTTACTCGACGCAGCTCTATGGTGGCGATACACTGCCCGACAGTGTTGCAGACGGCTCTCAGGACGAGTCCGAGGGCGCCCTGTTCCGCTCTGCCGGCCATGCGCAGCTGCTGTTCCGCACGACGTCCTGCCTGCGAGCCGACACCGGCAACTGCGAGGCCGTAGGAAGCCCCTGGTACGCTGCGACGCACTCGGGCATTGACCCTATGGTGCGTCGTATGGTGGAGGAGGCCAGCCTCATGGCCCGTGACAACGCAACCACAATCACGCCAGATGCCAGCAACACTCGGTGCGTACTGGGGGGCCTGGTGGATAGCTTCATGCTGCGCTGCACTGACAGGGTTGTGTACAGGAGTTGGCGTGCTCAGCTGTTCCGCTGGCTCTGCTTGCAATCCCGCCATCCCACTCGCATAAACACCCTTGCGTCCACCCCAAACTTCGTCAACCCCTTTACCAGCTATGCGTTTGTATGGCTGGTGGGCAATTGGGACGCGCATGATGGGGCCTCGACCCTGGTGGGCCTCTACACGGCGGAGCTACTGGGCGCTTACAGCAGAGAGCGTGTACTACACATCATGCTGCTGGTGGTCGCCATCCTCAGCATGGGCGCCTTTGTGGTGTTCCTCTTCAGGCCCTTTGTGGCAGCCGTGCGCAAGGAAGGCCGCCGCGTAGCGGAGCTGCTGGTGCAGCTGCCTCAAGAGGTGGACCTAGAGACGCTGGTCACCGCCCTCACAGACACGGGGGCGGAGGGGGGCGAGGGCGCCAAGCGGTCGCCCAGCAGGACCGGTGGGTTTGGCGTGCCTCAAGGCTACGGCGGCGGCATGATGCAAGGTTGGGCTGGCAGTGCGGCTGGGCAGGGGTCCATGGTGCAGCTTTTGGGCAGCGGTGATGGCGGCGGCGGCGGCGGCGTGCGGCAGCAGGCTTGGGGCGGTAGCAGAGGGTTTGGTCCTGGTGAGCAGCAGATGGTTGGGTTCCATGCTGGCTCCTATGCAGGCAACTACGGCCCTGCTAGCGGTGACGGTGTGAGGCGGCGGTCTGGTGTGGGCCGAAGGGTGGCCCCGGAGCTGGGGTAGGGCGAGCAGCAACCAGAACCGGAGTGGCAGTTGTGAGACACGGTGCATGATGGCCGGATGTTGCGACCTGTTGGCGCGTGCTACTGTGTGTGAGGTTTGCGCTCCTGATCATCACGTCCAGCTAATTTGTCCTTTCATCAAGAGAGTGTCCGCTACTGTTTTGCTTAATGTCCACTGTACACAACTTCTCGAATCAATAGTCTTAAAGCATCGCTGTAATCCCAAAGAGCCATTAGCCAAGCGAGGGAGGATGGGGTGCTGCTACTATCACAGCAGGCAGCCACAACAGCTGCTTGCAGGGTTTGCGTCGCAGCTTTGGTGCTTGTCAAGTGGGTGGCTCAGTGTATTGGATGTCAGAATCTGTGGTGCGTGGTGGCCAGCCCATGTTGCTTAATTGATTCAACGGCGTGACGGTCACAGCAGTGTACAGCACAGATTCAATCGCGTGCCACGCTAGGAGCACCACGCACGCATGACCGGGGTAGTTTGACCTCAGAGTGGTGGTGGCTGGAGTTTAACAGCCAGATAGTTGACTTTGAAGCAGCATGTTCAGGAACGATATCCTGCAGGCTGCCTGCCCATGGCCAACAGGTGGCTGGCGTACTTGTCTAGCGGGAGGGAAGGCTTGGGAGCGTAGCCGTAGCGGCCCCTGGAAAGGCCTTTGCTACCTGACCGCAGGTCCTTGCGATTGCAGAGTCGGCGCCTGCTTGTGAGGTCTTTCCTGGTAGGCACACACAAGCATTGCCAACAGGGAACATGAGAGCGCATGGACTGCAGATTTGACCAGACGGGACTTGCCGCAACAGGCGTCTGGTTGGTTCACCACCCATTCAAGTAGGTCTGCCGACTCGTCGATAACAATGCCTTCTCCCTACCCGGTGGGTGACCGCGGCTGATAGTTGGCCTGCACCACCCGCGCCGGTGAGGCTGTAATCCATTCCTCCACCATCTTGATTCAAGAGTGGTCTACTTGTCCTCAAAGTCCAAGGTACCACCACTGGTGGCCAGAATGTCATGGCGCTGTCATCCCACACAATGGTCGACACCACCTGTTTGTACCACAGCCGCCTGCCCCGTGCAAGATGAAGGTATTGGCAGAGGCTGTGATTCTGTCACGGCCTGGCAGCGGATCTCCTCCTCTTTTTCAGGATTGTTATGGTGGGTGGGTCCTCTGCCCCTCTTTTTCAGGATTGTTATGGTGGGTGGGTCCACCAGGATACTCAACATTTGGAACCAGGCGTCCCAGTGCAGGGCCCATTTTGAACATGCAACACCAAAAGCCCGGTGACAGACCCGCCAGGCTGGTGTAAGCTGAGATTATTGCACCTCGGATTGGGGCTTGAGCTGGAGAATTGCAAAGGCGGTACGAAGCGTACTGTATTGGGGAGCGGAAACGGGCTTACACTCCAGGACACTTGCAACAAAGCAGAAATGATCGTGCCGGGAAGACGGGTAAGTGGGGGCGGGGTGATGAGCGGGGGCAGAAGCTATGCAAACGGGCGGAGATTTCCAGGACAAGATTAGAAGTTTGTAGACACGAAAGGCTCAAATGAACTTCAAACTCTCCCGGTTGCGCCCCTATTCGGGGATGGCCTCTCCATCAGGCAGGCGTACCACTGAATCGCGCACCTCAAATCTTAGGCACGGCGTGCCGCAGCCGCCAAACACCGACGCGGGCACAACAAAATCCACATTCAAAATGGATTGCAGCGAGGCGCGGCGGGGCCGCTGTTGCTTTAATTTCAACCGAGTCTGTGCGGTTGGCGCATCACGATTACTCGCGCCACTCCGCCGACATGCCAAGGCGTGAAGCGAAGGGGTTTGCGTTGTTGGTACCGTACCGAATTGCATCCTGCCCAATGCATATGCACAATAACACCGCGCAAAAATCACAAGAAATTGAGAACACCACGAGATCTGATCCAGATCAGTAGGTGCACAAGCACAGCGGAATGTCCGATCGCCCCACAGACCACCTGCAGCCTAGCAGCAAGCGGCGGCCCGGCGAGCAGCTTACGAAGGACGACGCAGACGACGACGAAGGGCCAGTGAGTGTTCGCCCCATCGGGGGACGCGTGCAGAGCTGGAAGCTACCGCGATTGCTGCATAATGCACCGTAGGCTGGATATGTTCAACCTGCACAGCCAGTACCCGAGGTTACGGCGCTGCTGGGTTGCGCTGCAGATCAGTGCGCGTCGCCGCACTGCTTCCTCGTTCCCTTTTCTGCCCAGGGGCATGAACCTGGAGACTGGGGCACGTCCAGCAAGGCGGACGAGGCGACCCTGTCGAAGCGCAAAATAATTCGGGCACGTCGCGGGCCGGTGGGGGCGGCGCCCAGCCCCCAACCTGAGGCGCCTCCTGAAGCATCAGCCGCAGCCGGAGCAGCGCCCGTGGGCGGCGATGTGGCGGCTGCCAACCCTTTTGCTGGGCGAACGCTGGCGTCGGTGGCCCCTCTTCCAGCCGCCAATCCTTTCGCGGGTGTATCATTGACGGGGACGGTCATGAAGGTGGGGTTCTCGCGCGCTGATGGGCAGGGTCCAGGTGAGTGCTGGAGACGCACCTTTGGCCAACCTCGCAGAGCTTAACGCAACGGCAGCTTTTGCCGACCAAAGACACACCACACGCGCCGCAACGCCTACTTCCAGGACAATGGCGGCAGTGACAAGGCCCTCGACAAGGTTGCGGAGGCGCCCCCCGCTGAGATCGAGTCTGTGTCCAACGTCGCAACGGATGCGGCACCAACGGCCGCTGCAGGGCCCGACAAGGCTGTGGAGGCAAGCAAGCCGGTATGGTGGCGGGGATATGGGGCGCGCTGGGATTTTGGAAGGAATTTGATGACTAATGAGACTGCCAGGCGCTTCGCGGCGCCATGGGAACGCAGTACTGCCAGCTGTGAACCCCTCTGCCTTCTCATGCGGACATAAAACGCCTGGAGCTGCGGGCTGCACCTTGAACAATGGCATGAAGACACAACTGAAGAAACCGTGCGTACTGCTTCAAGAAAGCAGGTATGCATCTCTGCACACTTGCGCGCTGCCCCTTCTTGCCAACTCCATGTTTGCAGGCAGGTACCTCGCCCAGCGGCACACCCTCTGTGTTTGGCAGTGGGAGCGGCTTTGGCTCCTTTGCCGGCGGAGGTTTTGGCGGCTTTGCGGGCTCCACAGGCAGCGGGTTTGGTGGCTTTGGTGGCAGCGCCGTGGCAGGTGCGCTGCCGCCCTTTCTGCGGATGGCAGAGCACTCATGACGTGTTGCAGTGGTCAATTACATCTGTTGACACACTTCCATGCTTACAGACAGCAGTGTTGCTCTGTAGGAGCTCAATGCCCCCGCGGCCTTTTTGACCGCCAACCCCTGCAAACCCCCTGCCATTGCTCCTGATCTGCAGCTGGAGGCGGCAGCCTTTTTGGTTTTGCAGGCACTGGCAGTGTTGCGGGCGGCTCTAAGCCAGCGTTTGGGGGGGCGAGCGGCGGCTTTGGCAGCGGCGCCGCTGACAAAGGCACAGGCACTGGCCAGGGGGAGCGGAGCGAGGACGGTGGGGATGCGAAGGAGGGTGGCGAGGGTGAGGAAGTGTTTGGCGGGCCCGAGGTGGCGCCTGTTGTCACGCTGGAGGAGGTGCCCAAGGTCACTGGGGAGGAGAGCGAGGTCATGCTCTACACAGGTAGGGTTGGGGGGTTGGGCATGAAGTTGAGGACGGCTGGTGGGGCGATGCTGGCGGGTTGGGGGACGTTGAGGCTGCGTCAAGAGTTTGAGGCTGGTCTACAGGCACACCGGCATGATTTCACAACAACGTTTCTCCTAGAGCAGTGTGCATGTATGCCCTTCACAGCCGTCCCTCACACGCATCCATGCACATGCTCGACCCCCTCCCGGCCCGCCCCAGCCGACGGTGCTCTTTTCGAATTTGACGCGGAGGCTCGGTCCTGGCACGAGCGTGGCCGCGGCGAGTTCCGAATCAACCGCGACCCGGAGAGTGGCGCAGGCCGCGCCGTGATGCGTGAGCGTGCCAGCAAGCGCCTCATCCTCAATGCTCGGCTCTACCCCACCATGCCCACCAGCCGCATGGCGCAGCCGCAGAAAGGTGTCACCTTTGCTGTTGTCAATGCCGCGCCCGCACCTGGCGACACCTCAGCCGCAGCGGCAGCTGCGGACGGGCGGGGCGTAGCGGCTGCGGGCGCTGCCGCTGATGAAGACAAGGGCAAGCTGGGTGGCAGCAGCGAGGGCAGTGCGGGTGCGCTGGTGACGTACGCGCTGCGGCTGAAGACGACAGAGGCGGTTGACTCGCTGCTCGCGGTGGTGGAGAGCTGGAAGGCGCGGGCCAAGGCGCAGGGCGGCGGCGGCGGCGGTGGGGCCGGAGAAGATGCGGTGTGACGCGTGGGAGACCTGCAGCAGACTGGCTAGTACACTGTGTAACGCTTCTGCATGACACGGGCCTCAGTTGCCAGGTCAGAGCGTGGGTGGCCATGCTGGCATAGCATGAGCAGCAAGACCAGGCAGCGGGTTGCACCATTACGAGCAATGGGTCAATCGTGAATGAATCAATGAATCACGTGCATAAAGATAGTGCTAGGCTCGTCCTAAGATGTGGCGTCGTGTGCCCTTGTGCCAGCGCATGGGGGCGAAGCAGCAACTGCTGCTTTGAAGCCACACTGCCACGGTGTGAGCCTGTCGCAGAAGCCCACGTGCAGCCCGCATGACCATTGTATACGACCTTCTTTTGTGCGTGCTTGTCGTGACTTATCTGGTTTTTGCACGGGAGCCTCTTGAGGACGGGCGGTCGGCACGAGGTCCACAGACCTGAGGAAGGGCGGTGTCGCCAAGCTGAAATAACTCACATAGTCTATTATATGCTGTGAAGGGCCGTGCCAGTGTAGTCGCTCGGCGACAGGGAAAGGGCTACAAAGGGCCAGCCGTGGTGCTCGGCTTCTTTCGTGCAGAGTAGGTTGTTTGAATCTGCGTGTTGTGTAGCTACATACGGTGCCATCGGGACGGAGGACCATGAGCGAAGACAGCAGATCACGCATTTCTTCTCATACACACCCATTCGCGCGCAGATACACCGCACATGTGCTCGATAACCTCAGGGACACCTCTGTCCATGCAGGCAAGCGCATGCTGTGCAAGCCCCGCTGGTGGTGCACGCGCTTCAACATGCACAACCTGGGCGCTGGCGCACGCGTTGCATGCGGCAGCCGCACAAGCCTTTGCCATGGACTGGGGTTCAGCAATATGAATATGTTGACGTTTCCCATATCAACTTCTCTAACCTCGGCTTGCAGGGTGGCCCTGGGGCTGGCGGCGGCAACGACAGTGGAGCGCCGTTTGTGACTACGTATGGCTTCACCACCACGCGGGGGTTCTCGCTCCCTTCTGGGGGCAAGCCATCGCAGCAGCATTGGCAAGCAGAGCACAGTAGGCTCAAACAGCAGCAGCAGCGCCAGCAGGAAGAGCAGCAGCATCACCATCACCAGCAGCGGCGGCAGGATGAAGCGGGTAGCGGGCGTGTCTTGCTGGACAGGGAGGCCGACTCGGTGCGCAGCTGCAGCAGCCTCAGCACAGCCAGCACGCTCACCGCAGGGGGTGCGCTTGCGGTAAGGGTCCCATCTTCAGACAACACCCTCGGGTGGCGCGGCATGCTGGAGGCTAGCAAGTGAGCGGAGTGTCTGAGGCCTTGTTGGGGTGCGCTCAAGGACCTGGCAACATGTGCATGGCCCTGTTGAGGGTGGTGTCTCAAAACCAGGGGCAAGAGAATCAGGGGTCTTGCATGTAATCTTCTTCAATGAACTGCATGTGCTCTGAGCGGTACCTCATGACCCCACATCACCCCGCGCCAGGGCCACTGTCGGGTCTGGGGTGCTGGGGGCGGTGCTGCCGGCGGAGGCTGGGCCACGCGCGGCCAGGGTGGACCTGTGTTGCACGGCGCACGCGACACCCGGCGTGAGGCGCCTTCTCAAATCAGTTGTTCGGGGTCTCAAGGTGGGGCCCTGGTGTGAAGGTTGAGGCGGCGTGTCCTGGTTGTGATGGCTTGCATGTGGTAGTTGCTTTTTCATGGAACGCTCTCCCGGCTTCTGCTCAACCCCCTCAATGACGTGCAGCTGCTCTTGTACACATCACATGCTTTTATAGGCATGCCAAGAGCCTCAGCGAATGGCGGAGGGCATGGGCGGGTCATACGCCTGCCTGAACGAGGCGGGCCGCAAGGTTGCCATCTTCAAGCCCTGCGACGAGGAGCCCCTAGCCCCCAACAACCCCAAGGGCTACATAGGCCGCTGCCTGGGGGACGCGGGCTGGAAGCCCACTGTGCGCGTTGGAGAGGTACGTTCATTATGTGACAGGGGCCCCTTGGCTGTGCAATGGTCACAGGCCTGGAGGTGCCAGGGGCTGGCGTGGGCTCTGGTGCTGTTTGATCGGCAGGCGAGCCTCCACTCTCAGTGATGATGCTATCCACAAATTCGGCGATCGAAGTGCCATAGCTATCGCAGAAGAGCTTAGCATCTTTACTAATAGTTGCCATCTGTTTCGTGATGCTCCCACTCGCCACCCACCTGACATCAATCCATCCTTCACCCACTCCCGGCCACTCAAGGCGGCTCTGCGTGAGGTGGCGGCTTATCTGCTGGACCACGGCCATTTTGCACGCGTGCCGCACACCACCCTGGTGCGTGCGTCTCATCCCAACTTCAACTATGCACAGCAGCAGCATCTCCTCACGGATCAGCTGCCGGCCTGCAGCACTGGCGGCTTGTGCGACGATGGTGGCGCACTGGGGGAGGTGCCGTTACCTGCTTGCGGCCTGCCTCCCAAGCTGGGGTCCCTGCAGGAGTTTGTGAGCCATGTGTCCGACACCAGCGAGCTGGGCAGCGGCCGCCTTGCCCGGAGGGACGTGCACCGCATCGGCATCCTGGACGTGAGCCTCCATCGCACAAGGCGGGGCATGGGTTGCCCTACACCGCAGCTATTGTTGTGGCGGGCAGGCGGTCTGTTTGGTTGAGTCTAGCTCCGACGCCCAGCTGCAGCCTCCGTTGCTGACGCGCTATGTCCGCCCTCTCAACGTTTCCTGCTCGCTCCCCCTGCACAGATCCGGCTCTTCAACACAGACCGGCACGCAGGAAACATACTCTGCTGCAACCCCAGCGATGGCGCCGAGTCGGAGGCGCGTGGTCGCCTGTTTGGCGGCGGCTTGCCAGGCGGCGGTGGCGGCGTCGCGCCGTACGATCTCGTGCCAATCGACCATGGCTTCTGCCTGCCGGAGGCTCTGGAGCCGCCCTACTTTGAGTGGCTGCACTGGCCCCAGGCTATGCTGCCTTTTGAGCAGGCCGAGCTGGACTACATCATGGCACTGGATGCCGCGGCAGACGTAGAGCTCCTGTGCTCAGAGCTGCCCATGCTCAGGCCACAGTGCCTGAGGGTGCTGCAGGTCAGATTTTGCTGCTCAAAGCATGGGAGGATGTGGTCACGCGTTTGGCACCTGCTTGATCATGGGTAGGCTTGCGCGTGCAAGCAGTGCTGGCATGCCGAGCCACACGTGGAGTCTCGTGATTATCGGGTCCCCGGGGCCCAATCGGGTGCGTCTCCCTCAAGCTCTGGCCTTTGCCAACCTTCTTCCTCTGCAGGTGGGCACCCTGTTTTTGCAGCGGTGTGCCGCGGCCGGCCTGAGCCTCGCGTCAATGGGCCATCTCATGTCGCGGCCTCTGGACGCGCTGGACGGCGACGACAGCAACCCCAGCGAGCTCGAGCGCGCCTGCGTCATGGCGCGCCAGGCAGTGGAGACAGCCGTGCTGCTGGGGGCAGCCAGCGCGTCCCTGGACAGCAGCATGGCAGGGCTGGCCCTGCCCGAGGGCGACGAGGAGGAGGAGCTTTCTGAGGAGGAGCGCTGCGGTGCTGGGGGGAAGGAGGGCGGCCCGTCCGGCGTGCGGGCGCCCTCGGCGGCGGGCAGCGGGTGCGGCGGTTTGCAGCCGCACCAGCAGCAAGATGGTGACTATCAGCAAAGCGCAGCCCCGCGCCGAGAGGAGGCCCTGGGCTTGTTCATGTTTGACCTGGAGCCGGAAGGGGAGGGCAGTGTGGCTGGCAGCGACCCGCCGCGCTCTGATGCAGCGGCCCCCCAGTCTCCCTACAGCCAAGTGTCCATCGACTCTGTCGGCTCGGGAGCCACCGGTTCTGCGGCCATAAGCATCAGCGGCATGGCTGACCGGCGCAGGGACGTGGGTGAGAGCAGCATGGCTGTGGCACGGTCCGTGTATGCCGGCAACGGCTTCATGCGGCGCCCCCCGCCCAAGGCACCCATGCGCGCGCAGTCACCGCGCAGGGCGCTTGGTGCGCGCGTGACGTACCCCCCGCCCGTGGTGGCGGCGCCGCCGCGCAGTACCAGCGAGGTGCTGTCTGGCCTGAGTGAGGAGCAGTGGGCGGGGTTCCTGGGCCACCTAGGTGCCATTGTTGAAGAGCACCTGTGCAGCGGCACGTGGAAGCAGGCTGGGGCGCCGCCCGCCGCAGTGGCCATGTCCTGCCCGCGCTTCTGAGGGTCGTGTTGTACCAGGGGCGTAGGCAATGTGGAGGAAGGTCGCGCGCACCCCTTTCCTCGCTGCATGTGTCCCTTTTTTTGCTTTGGGAGAGCTGCGGCGACCAGAGTGTGGTAAGCAGCTGTGTACTATACTGCAGGGCGGTTACGAGTCTGTTTGACTGTACACAGGCAATGACCTAAGCTATGTAGCAGTTTTGGGAAGTGGAGGTTTCCGGTTTGTATGTGCAAATACCAACAATACCTTTCTGCACGTTTGCCCCCTGGGATGCTTTCCTTTCATACCTGTCTGCTGGCAAGCCTGCACGACGCATTTGTGTACCTTGAACGAGATTCTTGCACGTGTTTATTGTGCCCTTAAGCAGGGCAACCCTTGAACCAACTGCCTCACGTGGACATAAGTTGGCTTGGACGTTGATCGCGCAGGCCACGGCCAAGGGTTGGCCCGCAAGTCCTGGAGACAATTGTAACGAGGAATGGGCGTCTGGAAGTCAATGTTGTAGTCTGCAAAAAACCATCCTTGGACCGATACTTTGTGCCATCAAAAGCATCCTTCGGTGTTGAAAACAGAGTGACACAGAACTGCATCAGCTGGGCAGGCTGGTGACTGGTGTGTTGATGAGGGCGCAGCAGGCATGCTGTGGGAGAGGGGGGGGGGGGGCGCACAGGGGTGTCACGATTAATTTGGGCAGCTCGCAAGGCTTCATCTCTCCTACTCTTGCGGCTCACAATCATGTCAGGGGCGCCAACTTCATTCGAGCTTTTCCCCCCCTCCGCTGCCCCCGCATTGCATCTCGTTGCAAATCCCTGTCAGCACAAGTTCTCCGGGTGCACATCAAATTGTAAACACATCGTGTGGGCCTTGCTCGACCTCGTATGATACCTTGATTGAGGCAATCAACTTTTACTTGCTATTGTTCGTCGCACCCACACAGACAACGCAAGTCGCTCGGGAGGTCTGACTGCAAACGGCCCCCGCTTTCCGTGGGTAGAAACACACGAGATTTCACGGACGGAAAACGCAAAAGTGCCTATCAGAGCTCGTATACAAGCTTGGCCGCTCACCTTATTGCTGCTGCAGCAGTGTGTTTGTGCTGCGGCGCAAACATGACGATGCCGGCGACAGCAGACCGGCCTGTGGTGATGGTGACAGGCTGCACGCAAGGTGGCATCGGCTGGCATCTGTGTAAGAGTCTTTGATTCATTAGGTGGTGGCGATGAGGGCTGCTTTCAGGACGATGATACGGGCCTCAAGAGACGCCAGCAATAACCACCGCCACAATGCGTAGCTAGCCGGCCCTCACCAACCTGACCACCCAACTAGGCGCCCAGCTGGCTGCACAAGGAGCCCTAGTGTTTGCAACTGCGCGGCGGACGGCGGCCATGGACGGCCTTCGCGAGCTCGGCTGCCAGCTGCTGACTCTGGACGTGACGGACCCGGCCAGTGTCTGCGCCGCGGTGGACCGCATTGTGGCCGAGGCCGGGCGCATCGATGGTGAGGCCTGACAGCAAAGTCGCCCCACCTTCAACAAAGCACTTCAACTTTGCGACCTCTATCACGCAAGTGCTGTAGGTCATGCTTGTCCTCCTCCTCTTTGCCTTGGCAGTTGTGGTCAACAATGCTGGGGTAGCAATCCGAAAGGTGATGGTGCGCCGGTGTGCATGAATTTGTATTTGCGAATGCGCGCGTGCCTGCGTGCATGTGTGTGTGCGTGTGCGTGCACTCAATCAGTTGCACGGGACTGTGCGTGTGTGTGTGTGTGTGTGTGTGTGTGTGTGTGTGTGTGAGCGCGTGCGCGTGCGTGTGCGTGTGCGTGTGTGTGTGTGTGTGTGTGTGTGTGTGTGTGTGAGAGTGCCACTGGCAGTGCCAGCACGAGCGCGTGCACGAGCGAACGCGCGCGCTCATGCGAGCGATGCAAGCCTGCTAGGTCTGGGAGTTGAGTATACGGTATCCAATCCTCAACAAAGAGCACAAGGGCAGGTGATGCGGCTGACAGAATGCAGTGATTGGCATGCTTCTGGGTCCTTATGCAGTGGGAAGGGCATAGAACAGAAGCTAAAGACAAGGACATGTGCCTTTGACAAAGGCAACCAGGCACATTGATATGCTGAGCCTGGCACGTATCACACCCACCTCTGCGGCACTGTGCCTGCACTTTGAAACATATTGTGTTTACACATCGCCCCTGCCAGCCGTGGCTCTCCTCAGACGGCTGCTTCAAATGCTACATAAGCCACTCTGCTGCCTGCAACGGCCCACTTTCTGCAGCCGCTTGTGGACTTTGCCATGGAGGAGGTGCGCAGCTTGTTTGACGTCAACTATCTGGGCCTCGTGGCAGTCAATGCAGCTGTACTCCCCCACATGGTACGCTGACGACTGTTTGGTGTGCTTCCCAATGCGATTGTATGTGTGCAAACGTAGTGTGCGTGTGTTGCTTGACCACTGGTGCAGCCATGTCGGGGCAAAGGTATTCTGTACTCAGAAATCCTATCAAGTTTCAGCGCACGGCGCAAGGCATTATGCCGTAGATCTGTGAGATGAAGCGGTTCTCTTGGACGCAACTTCATTCCACCATCCGCAGATTGAACAGAGGTCTGGGAAAATCTTCAACATTGGGAGTGGGCTGGGCTACTCCATTTTGCCAACCATGGGCCACTACGCCGCTACAAAGCACGCTGTGCGTGCCTACAGCGATGCCCTGCGACTAGAGCTCTGCCCCTTCGGCATCCGTGTCTGCTTTGTTGCACCCGGGTAGGTGGTTGGCTGGGTCTGAGGATGCAGTCTAAAGCTGAGGGTTTTTTTGCACTCCCGCATCTGTTGCAAGCACGCTTGGTGCTGTGCATGAAAGAGAAGGTGCTGTCGGGGGGTTGTTGAGGCCTCAAGTGCAAGAAAGACCGCAAACTGTGTACCCACTTCCTACCCAACTTGTCCCAAATCCGTTGTGAGCGCCACAGGTACATCCAGACACACATTGGCGACGATAATCATGATTTACCGCCCAGCAGTCTGTACCACGCATTCCCTCGGCTCGCACGCGCTATGTCCCAAAGCGTGTTCCTTGGAACCAGTTATGCCAAAGCCACGCCGGTTGACTCGTTCTGCAACCGTCTGGCTGGGGTGGTCCTGTCGCGAAAGCCCCCGCGCCACTACCGGGCGGGCCACATGGCATGGTTCCCCTGGTTATTATCATGTGTTGCTGCACTTTGGGTGATCGACCTTAGCTTTGGTATCAAGTTTGGCCTGCTCCCGCCTGAAGGTATCTGGGGTTTTTTCTGACGTCAGGCCCCTAGTAGCGTTCAAGGTGATGCATTGTCACTTGATTGGTGGATCATTATGCTAATAGAATTGTGCCACATTTTGGGCAACCTCCTTGAGAGTAAGAAACCAGCAAATCTGCTCACATGTTTGCAACAGGGCGAGGCCAATGTGCCGTCACTCCCTCCATGATACCATTCAGAATGGTTATTACAACCCTTGTTGAACAGGAACACACTCGGGCAGATGCTCACACACAGAGGCACATCCACCACATGCACACACACGTTTCTGCAAATACATGAGGCACGTGGCCGCTTAGCTCACAGCACACGTGCTGCCACGCCCACCTGCAGTTGGCGATTGGCAGGTTGTTCAGGCCTGGGCCGACGGCATGCCAAGGCAAAGTCCAAGGCAAAGCATACACGACTGAAGCCACTCAACCATTTACAGCCTTGACCTCACCAGACGCCGCGTTCTGCTCAGCCTGCGTGCGCGGCTTGCACGAGCACCTGTCATCAATTGGTACGCCCCCCAAGGCCTGCGAGTGTGCAAGCGTATGTGGTGCCCACTCGCTGCATGCTGATGTTGACGCGCAGACCGGCCGGCTGCCGTGCTTGTGATAGGACCCTGTGTACACCCACCACCTCTGTGAGCCTTGAAGGTGCCAGAAAGACAACGGGCAGATCGTATTGCTGGACGTCCACACTAGCAGCGCGCCGGCGGTGATGCTGACTCAAGGTTGGCTGGCATGCAAATCCCCCTCACTGTACCCACCATATCGACATGCATGCCACATCCTGCCCCTGCATAGTGTGGTCATACCATAGGCACGGATGCCGGATGAGGTGCGGGCTGCTGCAAGGCGCGCAGCCAACTGCTTGCAGGCCAGGATGGCAATGTGTCGTGGGATTCCAGCAAGCGCTCATTGTAACCGCCCGCCTGGATTTGCATGCCCCAGCACCCTGTGCCCTCATGCTGCTCCGCACATGTTGGCTTGGCGCACTTTTCACACGTGACTCTCCTGCACATTCTTCCGATCCACGTGGCGAACGGGGGTGCGTTTATCCGTGTGTGAGGTCTGCTGCGCCAGAACATCGCGCGCGCCCGCCCGCTCAGCAAAGAGGTGCAGGTCCGGACCCTCCGCTTTTTGTAGCATGTAATGCGTGAATTCACTATTCACCTGCTTCTCGAAGCTACAGACTCACGCAGGAGCCAGTGCTGCACTTTCACGCAGCGCTGCGATCAGTGCTGATGTGGTGGTGATACCGTTATGCAGATTTGAAGCCGTCTTAACCCGAAACAATTTAGCTTACTGCTGCTGGCCAGGCAACAGGCGGGGTGCCCTGATGCTTTGATCA